ATACATCATAGCTGGCCTCACAATTTCATACTAAATTTAAAAACTATAATTAGTATTTATTCATATATTATATTTTAAAATCAAAGAACTACTAATCAGGATATAATTAAAGAAATAAGAGTTCATGTTGCTTTTAAAATATTTCACCAATTTCTCTAAAGGAAACACTATCTACAGATTTGCATCGAAGCGTTTCTTATGATAGTGATTTTAATCACTGTCAGATATCATCTATACTTGTCCCCTCTATGCCTCGTCCACACTGTGCCTCGACCCCACTGTGCTACCGTTTTTTTTTTTTTGTTAAGCTGCTCAAGGTTTTAATTATTAATTGCAAAAACTTATGAAAACATTTTGATAAAAATGGTAAATGTGTAAAATTTGTTAATAAAGTTTTTAAACCGATTTTCATAAATCAAATTCTCTAAAAATCACAATTAAATTTTAAAAGTTAATTTTTTCCAAGAATATATGATATTGCTTCTAATATTTACTGAATAAATGGTTATTATAAGTACTAAGACTATAAATTTTGATTATTTTTTGCAAAGTGTCATTGTGGCTATTTATCCTGAATTATAAAAGTAGTTCACTTTAGAGTGATATTAATTATTTTAAGAGACCTAAAATACAATCTAATTTCTAATTTGTATCAACCAAATACTGAATGCTATTTAACCTATATGCCATTAAATATAAATAATTCTGAAACAATGGACAGTAAAAGTTCTCTATTTTAAAATTTAAATTTAATAAAAACTTTATATTTTGGTTCATTAGAACTCAGAAAGCATTTTTACAAGTAATCAAGATATTGAAGAACAGAATGATCAGTTAGTAGAATTGTCTGAAAAAAGCCACAATTTTAAACAAAAAATTTCCAAATGGGCAGTTGAAGAAAGAATTAATATGTCTTCACTTGATCGATTGTTAAAAATACTTAAAACACATGATTGTCATAAAGATTTACCATCATGTGCTAGAACACTACTTGAAACACCAAAGTTTACTGTCACAAAAAATGTTCCTGGTGGAATTTATTGGCATTATGGGTTAAAAAATGGTATATTAGATTTTTTAAGAAAAGCAAAGTCATTCCACCTTCAAGATAATACCACCATTCAACTAATGGTTCATCTAGATGGCCTTCCTGTCAGTAAATCATCGACTAATCAATTATGGCCTATATTGGGTTCTTTTTTCAAAATCAACTATGTTTTCATAATCGGCCTCTATCATAGCTTAAATGTAAAACCACAAGAAGTTAATTCTTTTTTAGATGATTTTGTAACAGAAGTGAATGAATTATCACAACATGGTATAAGGTATGAAAATAAAGTATTGCCCTTTGAATTAAAAATGTAATGTGCTGATGCGCCTGCTAAAGCATTAATATTACAAATCAAAGGACATTCAGGCTACAGTAGTTGCACTAAATGCAATGTATCTGGTCATCATTGTGAACGACGTATTTGTTTCCCCAATGTTATTGGAGAAAAACGTACTGATCAACAATTTTTAGATAAAGTTGATCAAAATTACCATTTAGGCATTAGTCCACTAACCAAAATTTCAAATTTTGGTTTAGTATCTCAAGTGCCTATTGATTATCAACATGCTGTATGTCTGGGTGTATGTAAAAAACTTCTCACTTTATGGTTTCAAGATGAACTTAAATTCAGAGTACCATTTGCCAAGCGCTCTTTAATGTCATCCATGTTACTTGATGATATTCGTCCTTTTGTTCCAAGAGAATTCCAGCGTAAACCTCGAGCTCTCACATATTTTAATCAGTTTAAAGCTACTGAACTAAGAAACCTATTGTTATATACAGGAGTAATAATTTTCAAAAATTGTGTTAATGATGATATTTATAACAATTTTTGCTTATTGCATGTTGCCATGACCATACTATGCTCACCTACCTATTGCATCAGTAAAAATAATATAAAGTATGCACAAAATTTGCTTCAATACTTTGTCACTACTTTTAAAAATATATATGGTCCACATCGTGTCAGTCATAATTTCCATAGTCTACTCCACATATGTGATGATGTTGTAAATTTTGGAGCATTAGATAATTTTAGCTATTTCAAATTTGAAAACTATATGACAAAAATAAAAGGATTATTACATAAATATGACCAACCTTTACAACAAATTGCAAGAAGGTTGCATGAAGAATATTTACATAGTACTGATAAGTCTTTTTATGAAAAAAAAAAAACTAAATTTAGCAATCCTTACTCTGATGGTCCTTTATTAGAATTTTGTAGTAAACCCTGTTTTCAAAAAATAAAATTTAATGATTTTATTTTAATTGCTGGCAATAGAAAAGATAACTGTTGTAGACTTGATCATAATTCAATAGTAATAATTGAAAACTTTGCATTCCATTCAAAGTTGAATTTTCATGTGGTTATTGGACGAGAATTTTTGAGTAAAACAGATTTATATTCAACTCCATGTAAATCTTCATTTTTAAAAATTTATAAAATAAAAAATCTTTCCGAGTTAAAATTCTGGAGAATTGACAAAATCATTACCAAATATTTCATTTATAAAATAAGAAATTCGGATTGGCTTGCAGCATTTCCAATATTACACATTGAAAAAATAGACTGCCCATTATTGTAGTATTCTACTTAATTTTTTCTTGTACATATTTATTATATGTATGCATTTTTCAGTGTTTTAAAATAAAACTGGTACATTTTTATTGTTATGATTATTATTTTTTCTACGATAAAAGATTTTGATGTTATCTTACTCCACTCCAATTCAATACAGTATCAATTGATACTCAATGAAAGGTGTGTAAGAGGTTCTCTAATTCTAATTTTCATTTTTTTTATAACATCAGTTAAATTTAAATTATTTTTATATGATTTAATATTGAACATTATCTGAAATTTTTTAATAATATATGTCTAATAATATACTTTTATTATTTATTCTAATAATATACTAAACACGTGATTTACCATCAATAATTTTTAATTGATTAAATAGTTGAACAATTTTAAAAGTACTATATAGTACTTTTAGATATCTAACCATGAAAAATATAAAATAAAATAAAATGAGTTATGTATAAAACGTTATACAAGTATTCTATAAACATTTCTATAAAAGAATCCTAGTTAGGCCTGAATGAGGAGTTCAAACAGATTCCTATTTGAGAGTCCCGCAAAGAACTCTACTAGGATTCCTTATCCAATCCTAAATTGGAATCCTGCTTAGGCATCTATGAGGAATTCCTATCACATTCCTGGGAGACAATGTGCTGTTAGGGTTAAGACATGTAAATTTGATTTATTTATTTTAGAAATATTGGGATTATCTTACAGTACCGTTCAATGTATTTGTAAAAGGTACAAATACCATCCATATAAATCGACAAATGTCCAACAATTGCTAACCAGTGATTATGAAAGGCGATTAGAATTTGTTTTCATATTATGGTAAATTTGGAGGATAACCCAAATTTTTTATCACGAATATTGTGGACTGATGAGTCAAAATTTTGTAATAATGGTGTTGTCAATCATCACAATAGCCATTATTGGAGTGACACCAATCCTCACTTAACAATTGAGAGTAAAAGTCAGTTTCGGTGGAATATTAATGTTTGGTGTGGTGTGATTGATAATAAGCTTATTGGACCCTATTTTTTTGAAGAAAATTTAAATGCTACTAGATATTTGAATTTTCTGCAAAATGATATTCTAGTTTTGCTGGAAGACATATTATTGGAAATGAGGCAGCATATTATATGGCAACAAGATGGTGCACCAGCTCATAATGCCAAAATTGTTCAACAATATTTGAATACAATTTTTTACAATGGTATTTGGATTGGAACAAATAACCCTGTTGTGAAATGGCCACCACGGTCACTAGATTTTTACTTGTGGAGTTATTTGAAAAATGAAGTGTTCAGAGAGCAGCAGCAATTTTCTTCAAAAGAAGAATTAAAACTTAAAATAACCGAAGTTTGTTTAAATATTCCACAAAATGTCATTAAAAGAGCAACTAATAATGAAGTAAAAAGAAGATTAGAACTGTGCTTTAACACTGTGGGCAACATTTTCAACATTTGTAAATAATTAAAATAAAGTAATTAATAACATAAATGCAACAGTTCATTAATTTTGATTATTAATTAACTCCGGGATAGCTGTGGTAAACTGGGTTTTCTATGTCCAATTTGGCCACGCGGATGAGTGTAATCGAGAAGAATCAAAATAATAACTATAATGTAACATTCATCGATTGTACACTGACCACCGAGTGAGTGGTCAGGTCCCTTTTTATTAGAAATAATAATCAATTAACAATGCTTCTAGTGTTATACTTTCTAATGCAATTAATAATAATCTATTATTTACTTTTACTTTCTAATAATACAAATTCCTTAAAACTAATATTTACATATAGTTATGGGTTCATGACACCATTACCCTTAAAGAGAAATATCTTCAGATATTATTTCTTACGACTTTAAAATATATTATTTATTATATTTAATTAAAATACAGATAATTTTATGTTAAATTTTCTAATAACCTATGTGTAATCTAGTATTATAAATAAATCGTTCTTGTCTATTTACAATTTGATTTTCTTCTAATTTAAAGGTTCTAATTCTATTGTGGGTTGGTTATTAACGGGTTTTTTCTTACAATATTTTATATAAATATATACAATTACTACCACAAATAGTAATCCGAAGGTTTTAACAAGTAAATTTATTATAAACTTATTATCGTTATAAAAATCGTAAACGTGTTTGTTTGCTAATAAGTCGACGATGCGTTCTTGGTTGAGTTTCACATTTTCCATTCTTTCGAGGTGTATGGGTTTTTGTGCAATTCTATTATGTATATAATTGCAACAACTTGAGTTCAATAGACTAAACTCCAAAGGTATCGACTCAAATTTTAATTCTAATTGAGACTGAGTAGCCTTAAGAGTAACTGATAGTGTTATTGCCATGCAGTTCTCTTTTAGGGATAGCCTTCCACTTTTATTTATATTTATTTTTTCAACTATAGTGTGTGCATTGCATGATATAGTTACTACGGTATCCTTTACCATGACAAAATACCAATTATTTGGGAAGTAGGAGTGATACCAACTTTCCGAGCTAAGTTGTGATATATAAACATCACAAGTCGACGGCAGGCTATATTTATTATTTAATAAGTCCGTTTCGCATATAGGGACCTTGTCTGTACCGGAAAAGAACGAGTCACTTTTGCAAACAAACACTGTTTGAGCAAGTTGGGCAGCACCAAAGTAGTCAGCTGAAGGCCGGCTTATCTCCTCGTCCGAGCCGGGTATTATGTAGAGTACTCGAAAGGCTTGCGGCGGGGGTAAACCGGTCCGTGAGTATGGCTGACCAGCGCAGTGGACAGCATTGAACGTGTCGTGCATGTCGTTTTTTTCCTATTGTTCGTATAGTATTGTATTGTACACGCTGTTGTTATGATACGCACGGCCGTTTTAATCGTGTGCGTACGGTGACGAGTATCCAGTGGGATTTTGTTGGTCGCCAAATATACGACGCTGGTTCCTGGTTTTTTTTGTGCTGTATTCGGGGCATCATCTTCTTTATTGTTGAAGATCTTCTGTCGTCCACTGCCAGGACCGCGTGGCTTGGTCGGAGAATCCGTGGAGGACTTGGCTTGGATGGTTTTTCGTTGTCATTGTATGTAAATTTATATTTAATTTTTTTTTCTCTTGTTAACATATTTGTATTCTGTTGCGGACGTCCATATTTAGTTATTATACTAAAATTGTACTATTAAAACTATAGTAATTGTATGAATGGGTAGCCTTTTCTTTTTTCTTTTTTACTTTTCACTATTAATGATTACAAACAATTAGTGTGGTTTGGTGTGTCATTATTAGTCATACAGACCAACCGTCTATTAGGAGTCCGGTGACAAACATTTTGGTGTCAGAGTGTGGGTTATGTAAAATTGGGTGGTCCTAGGTCCCGTTGCGCTGCGCTACAGTGTCGGCGTGATCGGGCTCTACGGGGCTACGAAACGTCGGCACGGGCGCAGTTTCCCTAGCTCGGGGAATCGGGCGCGTCCTCAGGTTGCGGATAGAGGAACGGCCTGCAGATATGCAGGTTAGCCGCGAAATAAGCAGTCCATTAATTTGGACTGACGAATAAGCGGTCGCGGACAGCGAGCCCCCCGTTCGCTCGTTAACCCTGCAGATATGCAGGGTATCCGTGATATAAGCCACTCCTAGAGTGGACGAATAAGCGGTAGCGATCGAGGATAATTTCATAACGGGCGGGTGGGCCCGATAGCCTGGTAAGGCAATCACCTAGGTGAAGGTAACACCGAAAACAAATCCCCTGGCGGTAGGTAAAACGCAGGGAAGGACACCCGTAAAAACCAATCATGGAAGGAAACCGGTGTAAAAAAACCGTTACGGTTCCAGAAGGTTCGGATCCTTCAGGACCGGCTGGGAAGAGTGCTGTTGCAGGCTCGACCCGGTCGTCATCTAGCGACTGCATCGAAACCGTGGGACTGGTGAGGCAGGGTCCAGGGGGCGTTCGCGCCCAAGTAACTGTCGGAGGGTGTACCAAGCAGGCACCCTCCAGTGACTTTCGGGTCACTGAGGTAACTGCTGGTGATCTGACGATCTCTGCAGAGATGATCGAAGACTGGGCGGACATTCGGGATCGCTTCTGCGACGGAATTCCGTTGACGCGGTCGGAATATGGCCGCTGGATGCACCTGCACCAGCGTATGACCTCGGTGGAAGTCACGAGTCATTGTTTCCCACTCAGGAGGTTCAGAAACCCGGATGGCTTCCGGAGTTCTGTACTGACGGTGTTGGGAATGATGGAGAAGAACCTTGCGGATGGTGGAGTCTTCGCACCGGTGAAGGAAGAGAGGTATAATCCTCTTGATGATGTAGAGGACGACGAGGAGAGAGCCGGCTTAATGGATAGCTGCATCTCCAGCCTTCGAGGTGAGGGTGCGGCAGATCGGGTCAATAGTTTGGCCCGACTAGTCGCCACCGAATTACTCACCCGCTACAAGAACAGCAAGATAATACAAATAATGGGACACGGACTGCGACAGGCGGTTGAGCTGTATGAATATAAGTGCCACAAGAAGGAGACTGTGAGGCGAGCCAGAGAAAAGGTTTCTTGTCTTCCGTCGCCGCTGCGCAGGACGAAGAAGATGATGTCATGCGTGCAGGAGACGGACCAGGAGGGAATGAGGCGGAGCCGTCTTTGGGAGAAGAAGGCATGTCCGCTTTACAACGGGAAGAGTCCCCGGATTTCAGCCCCCTCCGGGAGGAGACGCCCTCAAAGCGTCAACCGGGGAAGAGGTGAGCGGCAGTACGGGAGGATTTTAGTGATGATGAGGAGGCGTTTGACGTCGGCCTCAACCACCTCGTCTCTCTCTCCAGATCCGCAGAGGTAGAAGGGAGCATCATGAAGGAGGTGCCAAACACTCATTTGGCATTCCTTCTGGAGCAAATTTCCCTGTCGTGCCAGGCTCTGACTGATCTAAGGAGCTCAGCCGAGCCTCGCAAAAAAAGAAGGAATGATACTACGGAGGAAACAACTGCGGCCATGGTCAATGAAGTTGCCGACCAAGTCAAAGTACTCCGTGGTGTCATTGACAAACGGAGGGGCATGGGAGTTCATAGAGAGGTCCAGGAAGCGACAAGGACACTCGAGGCAATACTGGAGAGGGAAAGGAGANGACAATACTGGAGAGGGAAAGGAGTAGGGGGCCTTCGTTGAGCGGCGAGGACCATCGGGCCCCATTCGAGGGAAGAGTCGGGACACGAGCTCCCGATGGAGCGGCCCTACTTAGGTCGACCAAAGAGGCGGGCACGCAAACTGCGTAGGACTCCTCGGTGACCACGGTTATGATCGGTGGCGACCTGGACACCGAGCCTGCCGTGCCGACGAGACCAGGTGCGACTGCGGCGCCCGTCGGCCTGCTATCCACCACCAAGGTGGCTAAGCGGGTGCGAAAAAGGCGACACAAGAAGCTGAATCAGAGCGTCGATGGGGGAGGGGAACCTGCCCCAGACTCAGTAATAGTAGAGGCAGCACGCACCCCAGTACCGCTGCCCCAGACCGTGGTAGTGCCTAAGGTTCCACCGCCGGCTGCGTGGTCAGAGGTGGTCCGCCGCAAGGCCCCAAATGCAGCGGCCAAACCTCGCCCTAATCCCGGGCTTCCTACCTCAGCACGGAGACCTGCTATCAAGGTGAGAGCACCGCGAACTGAAGCCGTTATTATTGGTCCTCTTAAAGAGGACCAAAAATACTCGGCAGTCATTAAAACGGTGATGGAGAAAGTTGATCTCCAGGCGCTGGGCATTGTGGTCTCCGGTACCCGCAGAACCAAGTCAGGAGCAGTGCTCCTGGAGGTTCGAGGTACCGGGGCTCAAGCCGACCTGCTGACCACTAAGATTGTGGAGGCGCTGGACGGCATGGATGTGCGCGTCCATCGTCCGGTGATGATGTGCACATTCATGCTTCTCGATGTAGAGGAGTGGATAGAGGAAGAGGACGTTCAGGGAGCGTTGACCTCTATCATCTCGACCGCGAATGGTGCTTCGGTAGCCGATCCCGTTGTGGTCCGGCTATTTGGTAGCGGGAAAGGCCGGTACGCACGGTGCGAGGTGCCCATCAGAGCTGCGGCTCCACTCGCTGGGCTAACCCGCCTGCGTATTGGCTGGACGTCGTGTAGAGTGCGTCTCTTACATGACAAAGGACCGCACTGTTATAGATGTTTGGAGCGGGGCCATGTGCAGGGTACTTGCAAGGGCCCAGACCTTACTGGCGCATGCTTCGCATGTAAAGGGATGGGCCATGTGGCAAAGGACTGCCCCGGCAAGGGCAAAGAGGCCTGAAAGTCAGGTTCTGTGATTTTGTGTCTCTCTGTTGTGAGTTTTACTTGTCCCAAACATAGCAAAGTCCTACCCCCACCTCCACGTGGTGCGGCCTGGGCAACGGATCCCACTCTGGGGTCCGGCTAACGGGGGAGGCCACACCACGTAGTGAATCAGCTCTTGATTAATTTCGGGCTGATTCACAACGTGGTGGTGTGAATTTTTAGACAGCGTGGGCCGCCCTGAAGCAATACCTCGCGGTAGTTCCAGGGCAGTCCACAGCATGCCGGCGGTGTATAAAAAAAAAAAAAAAAAGGGGGGTCCTAGGTTAAGTAAAAGTGTTTTTTTTTTTTTTTAGTGGCACGCCAGACAGGCGAATTCAATAGTTATGATTGGTAAATTTTAGTTATCATTATTGAATATTAATTGTTTAAATTTATTTGCTGTGGGTATTCAATTTAATTCGACTAGTTAATTTTTTTTGTGTCGATTTGTTTTTTTCCTTTTGGTTTTTTTTAACTATAGTTTATTTATTTATTTATTTTTAATAAGCACATGCGTTGAAATCTTATTTCGATCAATTTATTGGGTGTAATTTAATTAGTAAAATTGTCGAACAGAGGTCTGATATTTAGTGTGCATCTTGCGCGAAGAAATAAGTGTCAAAATAGAATACTTAAAAAACAAATTTTTTTTTTTATTAAATTAAATCAAAAATAAGTTGTTAATTATTATTAACATACTAAGTTGCGCTAAGGAAGTAAGTTATTTATAGAATGTGTCTAATATAATAATACGGAAGTAGGGTAATTTGGAGAGAGCTGCCCCCCCGCCTCACCCACTCACCTTCCTTGCGGTGGAGGAAGTGTACGGGGGGATTAAATCTAACGTAAACTAACCTAATGTAATGGTGGGGGAGAACGATGAAACCCAACGTAAACTAACATAATGCAATGGGAGGACGAAACCTTACGTAAACTACTCTATAGGTGGGGGGTGGGAGAGAATTAAACNATCTAATGCGGGGGGAGGGAGAGGATGAAACCCAACATTTTCTAAGAATTTTATCATCGACTAGCAGACGCTTAGGTAAGCATATGTCAGACATCAAAGGTATCATAATATTATATCGCTAATAAGCGTCTGTAATTTTATGGGACGCTGTCTTTGTATTATTAAATGTACAAATCATTTCTAAGAATTTTACCATCAACTACCAGACGCTTAAGTAAGCATATTTTTTTAATATTGAAGATGTCGTCATAAGTAATAATAATTATCGTATGAATTTTATGAGAACAATGGTTGGTATCGTTTGTCGTTATGGCATTATAATTTCTAAGAATTTTATCATCGACTACCAGACGCTTAGGTAAGCATATTTCCGACATCAAAGGTATCATAATATTATATCGCTCATAAGCGTCTGTAATTTTATGAGAAATAATTGTGGCGCTGTCTGTGTATTATTAAAGGATTTCCAAAGGACGACCAAAGGATTTCGGTCATACCGAATTCCGAGGAGAAGTATATTTCAGTGACGAAATACGTAACCAATTACTTTTCCATACGGTTCGTCGACACCTTCCGGTTCATGGCCTCCTCCCTGTCCACCTTGGCCGGTAACCTAATGACGCCTGATTTCGTTAAATTTCGGGAAACGGCCAAGGTGTTCCGTCCGGAAGACATGTTGTTGGTGACGCGTAAGGGCGTATACCCCTACGAGTACACTGATAGTTGGATTAAATTGGACGAAACGGAACTACCGTCTCATGACGCTTTCTATAGTCAGTTAAGTGAGTCGAATATCGATGATGATGACTATAGACATGCCACGGAGGTGTGGAACCGTTTCGGCTGCTCAACCCTCGGTGAGTACAGCGACCTATACCTTAAGATCGACGTGTTGTTGTTAGTTGATGTGTTTGAGAACTTCCGCGACATCTGTATTTCAACATACAATTTGGACCCGGCACACTATTACACCGCGCCTGGTTTTAGCTTCGATTGTATGTTGAAATACACCAGGATGAAGCTGGAGCTCTTGAACGACTACGACATGCTACTGATGGTGGAACAGGGCATTCGTGGTGGGCTAGTGCAGGCCGTCAAGCACTATGCAAAGGCCAACAATTCTAAGACACCCGATTACGATCCGTCAAAACCAGAATCATGGATCGTGTACCAAGACTGTAAGTAATCTATACGTATATATATAAACGCGCAATATTTGAGCGGTGGTTTAATAACGTTTAATGTTTACAGGCAATAACCTTTACGGGTGGGCTATGAGTCAGCCCATGCCGTACGGTGGCTTCCGGTGGTATAAAGGAGCAGACCCTCTGGCTGACCTCCAATCGTTGTCGGACACTGGTAATACGGGGCGTATATATGAAGTGGACGTATCGTATCCACAAGAGCTGCATGACGAGCACAACGACTTGCCGTTCTTGCCTGTCAACGATGTACCGCCGGGTTCCAAAGAGACCAAACTCATGGCCACTTTGAAACCCAAACAACGGTACGTCGTACACTATGTCAACTTAAAACAGGCAATCGCACACGGACTGCAAGTCGATAAAGTATGTATAATTAACCTATAAACTATAAGCGATGATACTAATATAAATATTTGTACTGCAGGTGCACCGCGTTTTAGAGTTTCAACAAAGTGCTTGGTTGAAACCATACATTGAGTTGAACACTGAAATGCGGAAACAGGCGGCAAATGCTTTTGAAATAGCATTTTTCAAACTAATGAATAATGCCGTCTTTGGTAAGTGCATGCTCAATGCTAAAGCAGTTGTGGGTTATTCGATAATTTTTTACATTTTATAGGGAAAACCATGGAGAACATGCAAAAGCGTACCCGCATTGAGCTAATATCCAGTTCCAAACGTCTAAGCAAGCTCGTAAACCAACCAACCTTCAACGACTGTATCAAATACGGTGAAAGGTTGTGCGCTGTCATAATGGACACAAAGATTGTCCAGTTTATTAAACCAATATACGTCGGTTTAGCAGTGCTTGACATTAGCAAGACGCTAATGTACAAGTACTTCTATGACGTATTGAAACCGCATTATGGCGACGCAATCGAATTGGTTTACATGGATACTGGTGAGTACAACCGCACAAAATAGAAATATTTTAAAATTTAGAAATTATTTAGTAGAAATATTTTTTATAATATTTATATATTTTTCATTTTTCTCAGACTCCTTCATATACCTGCTCAGAGTCGGCGACTTCTATCAGGATTTAGCTGATAGCCCCGATTTACTGGTGCACGTGGACGCATCTAGCCTGCCCAAGGATCACTCTTGCTACTCGACCGATAGAAAGAAGATGCCCGGCCTGTTTTCAGACGAAACCGGTGGCCTTACCCTCTTTGAGATCGCTGCACTTCGATCAAAGTGCTACGCATATGACATGGAAGGCAGCGAACTAATCAAATCTAAGGGGATCCGCGGGCACGTCGTCCGGAACCATCTGTCTTTGGACGATTACAAACGATGTTTGTTCGAAGACGATGGCGATGGCGACGATGTGTCAAAACGAGCATTGGCTGGAGAGAATGCCCGTGTGGTCATCGGAGCTGTACGCGATGGTGAGACTCTACCGACATTATCGCTGCCATACACTCCGTACCGACAGAACGTGTCAATCCGTTCGTTCGAGCACGAAGTACGCACTTTACGTACAACCAAGTTGGCGCTTAACCGTTTCGACGATAAGCGCTATACGCTCGAAAACAGAATCGACACGTTGGCTCACGGGCATTATGCTATACCACCACCACCACCACCACCACTACAGGGAGGTTAATACAAATATAGTAGTATTTAAGTGATTCTCGTTGGAAAAAAATATTGTTAAATAATTTGTAAAAATATGTGTACTAGTATAAATAGTTTTAAGATTTTTTTTGTTAAATAATTGTAAATAAATGTTAGTAATACACATGTAATCGTATATAGTTTTAAAATGTAACATATGAAAAAAAAAAAAGTAAATATACTTATATTTTTAATTATTAAATAAAAAAAACTCGTGTTGTATTTGTAATTGTCTATTTATTCAACTAAATGTTTTATTACAATAATGAAAAAATATTTTATAATAATAAATATCAAAAAAAAAAAAAAAAAAATTATAGGCATTTTATATAATATCGATTGAATCTATCCATTTATTATGTGAATTATCCAAACCAACAAATTTGACAAAACATTTGTCTTTATTCTTCTTAATGATCTTTTCCACTAAATAAACTTCTGGAAACTGAGTCTTGCTAAGTTCGTGCTCATAGAAACAACCATTTATAGGTCTGTTGTTTTCATCTGTCAGTTCGTACACGACAGGTTTTGTATCACGAATTTTTGCGATTGTAAAGACTTCCGATGTCCAATTTTGTGTGTATCCTTTTGAAAATACTGCTTTATGTTTACTCAGACGAACTTTATCTCCAATATTAAACTTTTTATTATATTTTAAATTAGGTAGCCGTTTAAAACTGACATTTCCAGGATTACGTGATGCTATACTAGGAGTTGTTCCTATGGCGCTATGTTTTGTATTATTGTAATTTGTTATTAAATCTACTATAATGTTTATCCAACTATATGATCTATTGGTAGTAAATTTTTTCCACATTTTTTCTTTAAGTGTTCTATTAAATCGTTCCACAACAGCCGCTTTCATTGTAGAGTAGGTTGAATAATGATTTATATTTTTGTTCTTCATGAGCATCCGAAAATGTTTGTTGAAAAATTCTAAACCTCGGTCTGTATGCAAGTTTTTTGGAGATCTATTGATCAAGACTTTTTCAAAAGCCGACTTGACTTCTGTACTAGATTTATTTTTTAAAGGCACAGCCCACGCATATTTTGTATAAACATCGATTATCGTTAAAATAAATGTAAATTTTTTATTTTTTGTAGAGTATTTTTTCATATCTACTAAATCTGCTTGCCACAAGTCATCTTTGCCATACGATACAACTCTTCTTCTAGGAAATATTTTTCTAGCCGGTCTATGTAATTCATTTGCTACTTTCTCTGCTACTTTACTCATGATATTACACCTAGTTCTCGTAACTCTTCTTCTATTGACAGTATTTCGTTTCCCACACCTGTATTTCCAGCACTTCTTGCAGCGTGTAAAAGTTCTAATCAAACTATGAGTTCATTAGGATCGTTCCAATATACGTATTCTTTAGGTCTTTTGTTTAAAATTTTGTAGGTTAATACACCACTGACTGTTTTCGGAGGAAACAAGTTACTAATGATGTATTTATATTTATAACCTACATTACATTTCAATTTTCCATCTCGACCTAAATGGGCATTAGTGTAAAGTAGTAAAGTTTTATAATCCGATAAATCCATTTTATTGAATGAACCAACTGCAGGTTTACTTTTAAATAATAATTGATAAAGCCCATAACTTAGTGGTCGTGGTGCTAATGTCCCAACTTTAATAGTTGAAAAATCATCGGTTATTTTAACCGTAGTATTACCCATGATAAAATCATTATCTTTCACATATTTTAAACCGTAAACCGGATCCATTTCTAACAACCACTTTGAAAAATCTTCTCGCTGCATTTCACTGGAAAACGAGCGTTTAGGCTTATCGACATTTTCCGTCTTTATTTCTTCCTGAGATATAGAAGGTTCATTTTTTATTGAACTTTCCATCTTTATTTCCTCTTCCTGAGATGTAGAGGGTTCGCTAGAGCTCTGTATCATATCATTTTCTTCGGATGTAATTGGATCAGTTTTTACTATAGGACGGGCTTTGTCCAAGTGACGAAACAATGACTTTCTATGCTTTTGCTTTTCTTCCATTTCAACACGATTTTGATTAGCTATTTCTTGAAGAGGTGTCACCAGCGGTGACATATGTGTACGTACAAAATTTTCCGATTTCTCAACATTTCTATGAATTAACTGTATTTTATTTTTTATGTTTTGTTTAGAGCGTATGATTTCTTTCAACACTTTATCCGACATCTTGATATTAACTAAACATATAGCAGTATGAGTCGTCTTTTTATACTCGCGTCATTTTTATGAATATATCAAGCCCACATCGATATCGACCATTGTTGAGGTCATCATCTTTCACTATAGTAATGAAACTATATCGTCCTTTATTCCAACATTGTGAACACATTGCTTTGAATTCATTAAAACTCATATCACTGGAACAATGATCTTCATAAACGTGTTTGAGATTTGTTTCATCTTGTTTGTACAGTATAATCATATTAGTGTTATCTCTTATCAGTTGTTTTGGAATTTTAGAATACGTCTGTGTTAGGTAAAAACTATCAACACCATTGTGTCGCCCTCGGCAAAAATAAGATGTCATATGAATTTGTTTTTCACAAATCACATCATCGAATACAAATACAGAGTTTGCTTCTAATTTTTCGGGTGGTGGCACGTCTTCACTGCTGGTGAACATGGATAATTTTACCACATTATCCATAATCTCACCTAATAATTTATATTTATACTGATCCGGGGTTTTCGTGTAAACGTATAGGTGCTCGAATCGCAAACCATTTTCCTCAGTTAATAATTTAAACATAACATTTGTTTTACCACAATTCGATGGTCCACATATTATGCATCTTATTGTGTTGGGTAACAGCGGTCCATGTTTAGACTCTATGGGGTCTGTAAGATCCACGACATTATCGACTGATAGAGTATGTTTCTGTTTCTCAAAAAACATTATTAGCGCACGTTATTACTCGTCAAACGAATGAGTATAAATGATGAAAAACTCAAAAAACCTTTACAGTTATAAATTGAAAATGGTGCGAACAAGACGTGCGACAAAGCGAAGTGTAGGACGCGGTATTGTTAATTCAATAATTAATCGATTGCCTATTGAAATGCATGTTCCAGGGCATCAGTATTGCGGACCAGGCACAAAACTTAATAAAAGACTAGCACGTGGTGATCCTGGAATAAATAAACTCGATGCAGCGTGTCGTGACCATGATATTGCGTATGCAAGAACAAATGATTTATCGCAACGGCATTTGGCTGATTACGAGTTGGAAAAACGTGCTTGGGACCGCGTAAAAGCAAACGATAGTTCATTTGGAGAAAAGGCTGTTGCGTATGCTGTTACAAATACCATGAAAGCTAAAAGAAAGATTGGAATGGGTTTTGGTGGTGTACTACGAGTTGGACGTAAAGCTATGCGTAATTCAAAAGATATTAACAGTGCGGCAAACTTGGCATTAGCGGCAGCTCGTGTTGCTATAAAGGGAAAACAAAAATTTAAAACACCTCGCACTATCAAAGTACCTAAATTTGGAGGTGTGCTGCCACTCATTCCTATTTTTGCTGGACTTTCAGCTTTAGGATCGTTGGCTGGTGGAGTATCGAGTATTGTAAGAGCTGCACACGAAGTCAGAAAAAACTTAAAAAATAAAATTACAGACGCTTATTAGCGATATAATATTATGATACCTTTGATGTCTGACATATGCTTACCTAAGCGTCTGCTAGTCGATGATAAAATTCTTAGAAAATGTTGGGTTTCATCCTCTCCCTCCCCCCGCATTAGATTAGTTTACATAAGGTTTCGTCCTCCCATTGCATTATGTTAGTTTACGTTGGGTTTCATCGTTCTCCCCCACCATTACATTAGGTTAGTTTACGTTAGATTTAATCCCCCCGTACACTTCCTCCACCGCAAGGAAGGTGAGTGGGTGAGGCGGGGGGGCCAGATCTCTCCAAATTACCCTACTTACGGATTTTTTTCTTTCTTTCTTATGTGATCATAAGTGCGTTCAAAAGAATTAAGAGCAACTTTGAATTGTGTATGATATAATCATCTTTAATTGCAACTTATTAATATTTTAATTATTTTCGTTGATTATTTCACGTGAAGTTATTTATTATTATTATTATTATTGTTTTTTTTCTCTATTAATTAATTTTAATTGACCGTGATTTGGTGTTAATAGCGCGGCAATAGTAAGCTCGTTTCTGGTTTTTTTTTTTTTTTTTTTTTTTATAATGGTATTTTGTGTAATTGATAAAAATGTTATTTTCATGTGAATAAAAACAGATCGGAACGCGATATGCGAAATTTTATTAGAGCTCGAACGACCGCGATTTTAGCGAGGGATACTGTTGTCGCTCGAATCCGATCCATCGTCGACATGTCTGCGGCTTTAGACACTCAACCAGCACTCGTGCCGCGTTTTTTAGTTGCCGCTAATGATCTGGAAACATTATGGAAGAGCTTTCTTGGGGCGAATCAAGAAGTATTGGACGCGATGCTAGATTTAGACTGTACGAATGAATTTTCTATAACTCCCGAGTCAGAGGTTCGTCAATTATTTGTTATCGCGGTCAGTGTTGTCGAACAATATAAACCATCAGGTGCCATCGAACAAGAAAAAATTAATGGTTCTAATAATTTAAATGATTCACCACGGTCTAACCTGATTCCACTTGATTCACATATGTCTGATAGCCTCGTAACGCCTACGGGGCATTCAGATAATGTAGTTTCTCAGTCTATTACCACTGCCACGACTAGCACTGGTGGTCCCAATTTATCCATATGCAACAATAATATCGGATCACTCGGATCGCGGTTACCGGAAATTCCATTGCCCTCTTTTAGTGGTGACATTCTTGGGTGGCCGGTTTTCCGGGATCGATTTACCGCATTAGTGGTCTGCCGGCAAGACTTGTCTGACATCGAGCGTTTTTATTATTTGTTGGGCTGCCTTCGTGGTGAAGCTTTGATAGCAGTTAGGAATATTACGGTCTCTGAACGTAATTATGCGTTGGCCTGGTCTACATTAACCCATCGTTTCGATAAACCCAGATAATTAGCTACACTTATCGTTGAGAAGCTCATCTGTACACCACCTCAATCGCA